CTGGCTCTGTACCCATCTAGAAAGATTTGATTATTGTAGTGAAACTGACAGGAAGAAGACATCCTTTAAAACATTTATAGTCCCGCAGAATTTGCTCAAATCACCACGGGGAGCATCCCTACCTGATTTAGCTACCCTGTGGCACACATGAGTTTTTCTTGTGTTTCCAAAGATTGATAGGCTGTTAAACTGAGTAGTTTGAGTAAACCCAATAGTGGACTCGTTGTTAATAAAGAGATGGCTGGAGAAGTCCACGTACAAGCTTTTTGTTAGCAAGGTCCTCCCGGTGCTCCTGGGGTTTGGGGTCCACAGACCTTTTATACCAGAATTTCTTAGTGACTTCATTGAAAGAGGAAAGAAAGACCCCAGACGATATCCCTTAGATGCTGACACAGCGGTTGGAATGGGGTCTGGGAATGTGCATTGGTGGGCAATATTTAAGGAACATGGAATAAGGATTTAGTATCTGAACACAGAAATTAATCATTAGCATACTTAGGAAAAATCTTTGCTAGCTTGGTAGTATCTAGAAGAGAAATGGAATTCGTGTGGTATGAATTGTGTATTAAGCACATCCCTAGTCTAGAAAAATAACCGTATTTCAAGTGTATTATTACATAAAACTTTAGCTAGTGTGTTGTTATATAGTGGCATTAGTGTTGCAGTTGATCCATTTCAGTAAACAATTTCATAATGTGGCAACATCTCATCATTCACACCGAAATTCTTTGAGCTGGTTGCATGTGGACTTTCGGAGGTAGCTATCAGCTTGTAGAAGCAAGGCAGTGACTGGGACTACAAACCAGGCAAACCAGTGACTCCTAGAGGAACCCAAGGGTGAGGGCGGACACGGTGTTGGGGGATGGGGACCAGAGGTCAAATCAGCCAGAAACCACAGGGTATGTTTTATTCATCTCAAAATAATCATAGTTAAAATGAGCAACTGATATTAGGGGCTAGAGTGGGAGGCAAATGTTTTAAGAATGATGAGGGAAAAAATGTGCATATGTGCTTGACACAATGGATGGATGTATGGATTGTGATGAGAATTGTACGAGCCCCCAATAAAATAATTTAAATAATAATAATAATAGTTAACAATTGTTTAGCTCTCATCCTAAGCACAGTTCGAAGACTTTTATGTAGAATAAACTGCTTTAGTCCTCTGACAACCTCTTATTACATATGAGGAAACAGGTGTAGTATGGTTTAGTAACTAACATGATATTACATAGGTAGTAAGTGGCAGAACCATAACTTGACCCAGACCGTCTGGCTTCAGGGTCCATACTTACAACCCGAGCCCTTCACTGCCTTCTTAGCACGATGAAAAGTTGACGTGTGTGCTGTGAATTCAGTAAGCACTAATGGATTGCAGCACGTTGACTTAGAGGCCGGTACCTTGGGAAGCAAAAATTGGATTGAACTACACCTAAATGCATGTATCTAATTTTGTCTTTTCCCTTAGCGATTGATCTGATAAACAACCTACTTCAGGTGAAGATGAGAAAACGCTATAGTGTTGACAAATCTCTTAGTCATCCCTGGCTCCAGGTAAAAAAGTATATTTTTGACAGTTTCTTATTTGAGTAGTTCAGTGTGATTTGTCTTACCTATAAAAATCACTTTAACATCAACAGATCCTATACATTTCTTAGGATAATGAAAAGTACTCATCTGTGATTAATTTGTACTGTGGCGGAATCTCTGGAACTACACACACTGAGGCATTCATGAACAAGCCTGAAATGAGTAATGTAGCCTTGCAAGGGTCTTAATGTGTTCGTTTCACCTAAGATGAGCATCCATATTATTGTCATATGCTTTACTTTTGAAATGTCCGTCTAAAACCAAACCTGCCAACACGTTGACTAGAACTCATGTTCCCTGTGCCACATAGTAAAACGGCCCGTCGGGCTTCTGTTTCTGTAGACCACATCGTTCTCCCACTGAGCCAGCCAGCTGTCTGAACCACCAGCCTTTCTGTTAGCTGCTGAGCACTCTTAACGACTATGCTACCACTTTAAATTGAGTAAGGGGTAGAGTTAACTTCGAAACAATGTAATCGGTTGGTGCCACTGACTACTAAGTTATCCTGAGAAATTTTAGCTGCTCTTCTTGATCCCAGGATGAAGGTTTAGCTCTCTTACAGTAGAGACCAAAATGGTTTAGTGATTAGTGTCAGAAACCTGGGACTATTTGTTTTTAATTTTGCAAACGAGTGACTGTCGTCATTATAAACTCATTGTAGAGCAAGTGTTTAGTGAGTACTGGTTGGTGATTATTTGCCTGGAGTCCTGAGTAAAGGTAGTATGCTAACATCGCCTTTAGGACTCATAGTCTCTTCCTTTTGCCCTAGGACTATCAGACTTGGCTTGATCTTCGAGAGTTTGAAACTCGCATTGGAGAACGTTATATTACACATGAAAGCGATGACGCCCGCTGGGAAATACACGCATACACGCACAACCTCATCTACCCAAAGCACTTCATTATGGCTCCCAACCCAGATGATATGGAAGAAGATCCTTAGATAGCAGAAGAGCTGACAGCTGTCGGGATGGATTTCATTTTATGAACTGACACTCGGCTGAACCATTCTTGTTCTTTGTAGGTTGTCGTCTGCAAGCGTGCAAAGACCCAGAGAAACATACGGAGCCGGTGACACCTGTACTGTGGTTCTTACCGAGCAGGTACAGGAAGGTGATCTGAGTAATGAGACCCATAATGGAATGGAAGTAAAACCGGTCATAGCATTTGTAATAGAAGCAGTCACTTTTTAAAAAATCCTTCACTTAATACAGTAGTGGCACTTAATTTATCTTCCCTCTCCTGTTACTACATTATTTTATGGAAAAAACAAAAGCAAGATGGGATCCAGTTATTATATGCAAGAGATGCAAGATTAGTTACTGGGAGGTTTGCACTGAAAGTCTACCAGTGTTACTCAGGCTTCAAGCATTTATGAAAATGCTCACAGAACATTGTGTTTCTTAGGGTCTAGGAAAGGCGGTGGGGGCGGGCTGGGCTGTTTTACCTCCCCCTGCTACTCAGCCCCACAGACCAGTCAAGATGCTCAAACAGTGGTCCATAACACCCTTTGCTCAGCAAGTGCAGATCCAGACTCACACAGTCTACTTTACACATGAGAAATCAGGCCAGTGCAGGGTCAGGTAAGGCTACAGGAAAGAAGAACAGATGTCACCTCTTAGGCTTCACTTCACCTATGGGAGACTTGACAGATACCTGGAAACTGGGGGCAGGAGCAGGAAAATGTGTAAGGAAGGAGCTATGTTAAAGCAGAGGAAAGGAAAGAATGAAATCTGTTTTTAACATTGCAACTCCAGAAGCCAGCAAAAGAAATTTTTTTCTGACTCTGAAAATACTCAGTTTTTGAGGCAAGACTTTTTAATAACTCTTTACAATGGTTACTAAATTTAAAAAATAAATCAAATTCACTGCTATCAAGTCAGTTTTGACTCATAGCAACCTTTGAGGACAGGGTAGAATTGCCCGTGAATTTCCAAAACTAACTTTTTTTCTTTTTTTTTTAAAGCAAGAATAGAAAGTCTCATCTTTCTCGCAGTATAAGATCTGGGACCATCTAGTTGTAAGAAATCTAACACTCAGTTTCACCATTCCAGAGTTATCATTGTAAACCGTTTTTTAACTCCAAAGACTAAATGTGAAGAACGAGATTTAGAGTACGAAAATCTGGGTTTATGTGTAGCAATACTATTCAGACATTCTGAGTCTGGATTTCCTCACTCTGTAGGATGAAGGCAATAATTCTTGCCTCTTGTTTTTCTCACAAGGTTGCTGTGAAGATTAGCTATGTCTGAATGTGTTCAATAAACTGAAAACTATGAAGGGTTAGCTCACTGCCCCCTGAATTTGAAGAGGCGGAGGAAAAAAAGGTTCCTGTAGATGACCAGATGAGTCTAGGGAGTGTTCTGGGGGTCCCCACAGCCACCCCCTTATCCAGAGCTGAATATCTTGAGAAAACGATAGTAGACACTTAAGGAGCCTCTATGCTAAGCTTTTTACAGGTTTTAAATGCATTTAACTTAACAGTAACCATGTGAGAGAACATAACAGAAGAACCTGGGTTACAGATGAGGAAATTGAAGCATTGGAAAATGTACTAGCCAAAGGTCACACAGCTAGTAGGTGCATTAGAAGCCCAGCAGTGTGGCTGCAAAGTCCCCTTAACCCTTCACCCTGTGTGGTAGGAACTGCTCACACGCCTCTCTCACCCAAGCATGGCACAGCACCTCAGTAAGTGCAGGATTCCAAAAAATGAAACCACATTAACTGAAAGGTCATAGAAGTGTCTTTTCCATGTGATAAAAAATTTCTCCAAAATTCATCTATTTATATCTGCACACAAAATGTAGTAATTCTGGACCATTTAGCACCCAACTGTGGTTTTTATACATAAAGTGAAAATTAACTGGAATGAGATTTGTTTGCTATACTTTAATAATCAAGCCATGGAATTAATTTGCACTCTTAGTTTTTGTCTTTGAATGCCTAAGTTTTCTTATAAAAAAAATTATGAAGTTGTTGTCAGATTATGTGGATTTGAGAATTACTCGAAACTATATAATCTGCATTATCTTTGTCTTGAAGTCAGTTGTATTTGTATAAGAAATGTGTTTGCTGAAAACATTTGATAAGTACATTTTTATATTTTTTGTTACATCCCACTTTTTGTAAATAGCCTCAAAGAAGCTTGATACTAAAACATATTTCCATATCACCATATACTTTTCCATGTAAAAACCTGAGCCTTTGTGTGATCGAGGTATCCACGGGAGTTTTATGTGGTTGTGTTACTTAACCAGGCGTTGGAAATACAACTATTTTGGAAATTATATTTGTAAATGGAACTAATTCGATATTTAAGAACACTTTTTCTTAAAATCTGCCTAAAGTAACGACAACTCAGTATTATGATTTTATATTAAACTCAGAGTTATTACCCGAAGTCTCATTTTCTTGGGATAGAAGTTTATATTAACTAAAATTTTCAGGAATTACCATTAAAAAAATTAAACTGTTAAATCTATCAGAAAACCTCAATATTTAATATCAAAATGAATTTTGTTTAAAAATCTTAATCCTTAATTATAAAAATGTACGACGTGTTAGAGAGAAGGGAGCGTGACTGAATATTTTCACCTTTCAAAAATTGTTCCAACACAGGAAAAAAAGGGAATAGACAAAGGGGTGAAGAATGGTCTAAGACGGGGGCTGTCTAAAAAATAAGGCTTTAGTTTAAACAGTTTTATTAGCACTTTGTCCACACGTCTTTAGTTTTGACCCTATTGTCAGCTCAGCAAAAGTAGTGACAAGGAAGCAATAGTTGAGGGCCCCACCGAGGGCACTGCAGTGTAGTCACTTGTTCCGGTGTGTCCGCCTCCGCCATCGCGTGGATTGTGACCGCGTCGCCCTGCAGTGTTCCAGAGACTGTCGGTCTCTGCCGAGCAGACAGCCTGGGCTTCACCTCCTAGTGAATTTATGTTGCTGGTACCAGAGGGCTTCACAAAGTTCCTGGAAAAATTGCATTATCTTTCAATTCCATTTTTTCCACAAACTTTTTGAAGTACCACAATTCCTCAAAAAGCCCATGTTACCCGTATTATTATGAAAGTTGTTTTTTCAAAAAGCGTGAACCCCCCCCAGAAAAAATTTTTGCCCAAACAAAATTTTGACATTTATCTGAAAATACAGGACAATTAACTCAATCTAAAGACATTCCACCTTGATAGCCTCTATATTCAAGTACACAACTTTTGTTTTTAATTAGAAGGTTTACAGATATGTATGAGAAAAAATTCAAATAGAAATTTGGAGAGAAACAATTGAAATAAGTCTCCATCCCTTAAATCCACTCTCCAATTAAGTAGATTTCAGAGTGAGATTAAACCTCTTCGGCATCTTTTCCTTGTTTTGTTTTATTTTTAATTTATGGTTTTATTTCACGCAAATAAAACTTGCAAATGGGCCATCTACTCATTTTCTTCGTTTGTGCAGACTGGCCTTGGGATTGGTGACTAATGGCCCGCTGGGCTGCTCTTTCTCTGAAGGTTTTGCGATTCTTGAAGGAAACGTGAGCACTTGCTGCCCAGTAAGACTTGTTACACATTAGCAGCACTTCCAGCTCCCTTGGCATTGTGGACCAGGAACTTTGTGGAAGCCAATGGGCAGCTTGGTTTTCTTGTTGCTCTCCTCACCACGGTTGGGCATCCAGACGTGGTCCATAAGTCTTCTCTGCACCCTGTCATTGCCTCTGGACTTGAGGACCGGGTTCCACTTAATTTTGATAAATCACTCTGATTGGTACCAGATGAACTTTTTGGTCCTCTTTGACCATTTTGGGCTTCACCAGGAGCCTGAGGGCGGTGGGAGATGGCTACCTCCTATGTAGGCCTTGCCAAAGAAGAGAGTGTTTGTTTTAAATACCTGTGTAGCTCACAAAACAAAAACTGACCATCCTGCACTAAGTCTTTAGAAATCATATTTTATAGTTTTCCATTGTTACTTAAATGAAGGTTTACCTCCTTCCAACCAAAATTAAACTAGAACTTAACTCAGAACCTACTTTTTCGCTTACTGAATCTAAGCTCTCTGTCACCACTGGATAAGATTGACCACATTCTTTTTTTTTTCTTTTTTAATCACTTTATTGGGGGCTCTTAAAGTTCTTCTCACAATCCATCCATCCATCCATTGTGTCAAGCACATTTGTACATATGTTGCCATCACCATTTTCAAAATATTCTTTCTACTTGAGCCCTTGGTATCAGCTCATTTTATCCCCTCCCTCACTCTCCTTCCCTCATCAACCCTTGATAATTTATAGGGTTTTTTTTTCCCATGACCAATGTCTCCCTTCACCCACTTTTCTGTTGTCTGTCCCTTGTGGGAAGGGGCTATATGTGATTGGTTCCTTCTTTCTCCCCTCACCTTCCCCTTCCCCTCCTGGTATCACTACTCTCATTATTGGTCCTGAGGGGTTTATCTGTCCTGGATTCCCTGTGTTTACAGCTCTTAGCTGTACTAAGTACATTCTCTGGTCTAGCCGGATTTGTAAGGTAGAATTGAGGTCATGATAGTGGGGGTGGGGGGGAAGCTTTAAAGAACTAGAGGAAAGATGTATGTTTCATTGGTGTTATACTGCCCCTGACTGGCTCGTATCTTCCTTGTGACCATTCTGTAAGGAGATGTCCAATTGTCTACAGATGGGCATTGGGTCTGCACTCTGCACTCCCCTTCATTCACATTGATAATGATTATTTGTTCTGGGTCTTTGATGCCTGATTCCTGATCCCATTGACACCTCGTGATCACACAAGCTGGTGCATTTTTTTCATGTGGGCTCTCTTGCTTCTCAGATAGATGGCCGCTTCTTTATCTTCAAGCCTTTAAGACCCCAGGTGTTTTATTTTTTTTTTTTTTTGGTGTTATATCTTTTGATAGCCGGGCACCATCAGCTTTCTTCACCACACTCTTCACTACATTTGCTTATGCACCCATTTTGTCTTCAGCGATAGTGTTGGGAAGGTGAGCATCACAGAATGCCGGATCTACCACATTCTATATAATGATAAAGCGATAGTTCTATTTCATCAAATTCTGAATGTCCATTTAGGTTCTCTCTAGTTTATTAATAATGAATCCTGTTTTTTTTCTTATCTTTCAAAATGTTTAACAGTTTTATTAACATATAATTCCTGTATCACACCATTCAATGATTTAAACACATGAAAGAGTTGTGCAATAACCACCATCGATGTTAGAACAATTTCTTCATTCTTAGATTCATTAGCTCCCTATTTCCCCCCAACTCCACTGTCATAACCCCAAGAAACTTAATCCATTTACTCTCTGTAGATATACCTACCCTATAATTCATATAAGGAAAATCATAACCAAAAAACCCCTATAATAATAGAAAAACATCAATCAAAAAGAAAATTAAAACTAGAAAAAATTTTAAGTGGGTTGAAAGGGAAAAGTGATAAGGTATTGAATTTTAACCTAGTTATATCTGCATTAACGAATTTCCACTGCACTCTGATAGCAAGGCTACACACATCCCTGGTCAGTCCATGATTAGAGGGGTTCTCCAGAGGCTTAATCCACGTGGTGGGCTTGCAGAACAGATTTTGAGCTTTCGTTGTCATCCAGTCTTCTGAAAACCAGGTGCTCAGAATTTAAGCTCTAATAAGATTCCCTGCGCCAGTGTTAGTTATTATTATTTATAGTTCTTGGATTACACAAGCTCATGTGCTTCTGTATGGACATTACTGATGCCTTCCCTATATGGCTGTTTGTTTTAAGATCAGCCTTTCAGACTCCAGATGCTATTTTTTCAGACCACGCGGCACCTTGTGGTTTCTCCACTACACTTCGCTATAGCACCCAAATCTTCAGTGATCTCTAAAGAGGGCAAGTAAGAACTGGTTGTTCTTAGGTTAGGCCTACAATTAAGTACGAGCTCAAAATCCATATTTCTGTGGTTTATGTATGTCCCTGCCCTACAGCAGAGACATCGTTTTTATTGGGTAATCTTATAAATCATCCCCATGGAGCATATGGTAATTTATTGATAGTATCTTAATTCAGCCAATGGTATAGAATTTAAAATACGGTTGGGGAAAGGAAAACATGCATATGACAGCTTTTTAAACTAAAGTATATGGGCTGTTGTGCAGATCAGTTCTAGTGATTGAACACTGGTGGCCGGAGGTAGGGAAAAACTCAATAATGCTCATTCACTAGCGCAGAGGTATGCCAGCTGGACTAAGAAATGTTATAAAAAAGCAAAGAGTGAAAATAGCAAATATATGGTAGTTGTAAATTACCATTTGGGGGGGGACCCTCAAAGCAAGAGATTTGAACCAAAATCTAGTGACCTCCAAATCTATAACGTTGGGACAGTAGCCATCTGCTTCTCAGGCTACGATATTTCAACCTTCAATCCAAGGGAGAATTTCAGTTCTTTAATCTGCTGCTGGCATGTTCAAGGTAAACTCCATAGTTTCATGGGCTTTCCAAACCAGATCCTTCTGGTGTGGCCCATGAAGGATGTTGTGCACCTCAAAAGGATAGCAAATAAACTCAAATAGGAGTCTGTAGCAATGCAGCCTGGGTCACTGAGGGCTGGATAGAAACTAAGTCAAAAGTGCCTGATTAGGAACATAATCCTAGGTATATTCTCCCACTGAGAATCTGTTACATCTTTTCCCCAATGGCAGGTTACCCTCCTGGTTTACACAACAGAAGCGAAATCACCTCTAAGACATGCCAATGCCACCCCCAACCTCCCCTCTGGACTTGAATTTCCATTAAAGTTCACTGAAGAACCTTGTAGGAGTGTCTGTTGATTTGGGGTGACCATGAAACAATGTTATATGGGAAGAACTTATTTTTTTTCTTCTGCCCCTCCCCCAAACATGAGTTCAAGGCCTCTAATGAAGCGGTTTTTAAGATGGGACAAATAAGTGGGTAAGATACGGATCATGGGCATTAGGCAGGAACGCCATCTTGTTGCGTGAGGGACCAGATTAGATTACATGACCTAAGAGTAGATGCCTGCCATTGTCTTTGTGTTTTTCCTTATAATAGTGGACTCAAATTATTTTCCTTCTGTGATTAACCAACTTGGCTCAGAATAATTGCAATTACATCCATGTTATGAGGTGTTTTGTGATTTCATCAGGGTTTTAGGGATGTATAGTATTCCACTGTATGTACTGTTTGATTTTGTTTTGTCCTAGAGTTTATCATTTCTCTTGATGGGTGTTTGGGCCATTTCCAACTTCTTGCTATTGTGTACTAAGCTGTGATAAACATGGAAGAGCATGTGTTTGGTTGTTCTTACTTCTTTGGGGTATATACTCAGCCAGGATTCTGCTGGAGGTAGCACATAAAACTTTCCACCATGGCAGTTCATGTTATAAGCCAATCAGCAGTGTATAAGCATTCCATTCTCGCTGCACCCTGTCCAGCAATTGTCTTTTGGGTTATTTGTCTAAAGTGCTATCTCATTGTTTTGATTTGAAACTCCTGGGTGGCTAGTCATCATAAGCATTTTTTCAAGCATTACCTATTTGAATGTCTTTTCATGTCTTTTCCACAATTGGATTTTCTTGAGGTATTGCAGAATTCTATAGATTTTAGAAATTAGTCCCTTGTCTGTTATGTTGTTGCTAAAGATTTTTCTGTTCATGAGCGCTTTTTAACTCTTCATGAAGTCTTTGCTGTGCCCCAGTGTCTTCAGCAGGTGGGGCTACTAACCCCAAGGTTGGCAGTTTGAAACCACCAGCTGCTTCACAGAAGATGGGGCCCCTTTCGACCCTTGCAAAGAGATACAGGCTCGAAAACTCACAGGGTTAGTTCTACCTTATTTCTTGGACATCAGCTCAATAGCAATGAGTTTTGAGTTTGAGTCATCTAGTTTGTCTTCTGTATGCTTCATTTATTATACTTGATAGTATGTCTGTGCTCTGTAACAGGGCCCTTAAATTAGTCTGTTTTCTCATTGATGATCATGGTAGCTGTGAGATTTACATATAGGTCTCTGATCCATCTGATTTCATTTTTTGTGTTTTGGGCAAGGTATAAGTCCTGTTTCATTCTTCTGCATATGGAGAATCCAATTTTGCCGGCACCATTTATTGAAGAGGCTCCATTTCATTTTATGGTTCTTGGATTTTTTTTGGTCCTGTTGGTAGATGAATTTATTTCCGGGTTTTCTATTCTGTTCCATTGGCCTATGTAAAATAACCAAGCTGTTTTGATTACTGTGGCTGTGTAATAGATTTGGGGACTATGTTTTCTTTTAAGAATTTGGATTATCTGAAGGACATGGATTTAGGTTTGGAGATAACAACCTGCACTTAACCTCACTTGGTGAAAGCGAAGAGGACTTGAGATACTTATTAATGAAAATCAAAGACTACACCCTTCAATATGGATTACAACTCGATGTATAGAAAGCAAAAAGTGTTCACAACTGGACCAATAACATGACAGAGAAAAGAATGAAGTTGTCAAAGATGTCATTAGACTTGGATCTACAATCTACCTATGGAAGCAGCAGTTAAGAAATCAAAGTACACTGCATTGGACAGATCTGCACTTGACTTCTTCACTCTGAGGACTAAGGTGTGCATGGTACTTCTAACTGGCTCAAATGCATGTGAAAGTTGGGCAGTGGTTAAGAGAAATCAGAAAAGAATGGATACATTTGAATTATGGTGTTGGCAAAGAATATTGCCAAGGACTGTTGGAAGAATGAACACATCTGAGTTGGAAGCCAGAATGTTCCTTAGAATCCAGCATGGCTTGGTCTCATACGTTTTTGGCATGTTACCGAGAAGGACCAGAGCGTGCCCAAGGGCATTATCCTTGGCAGAGAGTCAGCTGAAAAGAGAACAAGCCCCTCAATGAGATGGATTGACACAGTGGTCTCAACAATGGGAGCCAAGGGAGTCACCACTGAATCACGATTGAAGACATGCAGCCATCAGCAGGGTTTTATTCCATTTGTTGTGTGGGGGGTCACTGTAGGAACTAAGTTGTAGCACTTACCAACATATTGTATCATCTGTACAGGCAGTGAACAGAAAAATACTTTAATGCTTATTTAGAGGTACATCTGATTCCATTCCCTTTATTTTGATTAGCAGACTGCAGAGGAGGTGAAAAGGTGAAGGTGTCACCGCCAAACAAGTTCATCAAACCCAGCAACCGGCACGGGAGAGGGTTTTGATTCTTGTGCATTCTTCTGATAGTTTCTATCAGGAAGTCTCTGGTGCGGTACCAGGGCAAAAAAGTTAAATCTTTCTCCCATCTTCTTGGGGTTCATTAACATATCATACCCCCGAAGTAACTGCTGCCTTGTAGTTGGCTCCTCTGAATTACCTAAAAGAACCTGGAGAGAAGGAATTCTTAGCAAAAATGACACGAAGGGATTTCTAGTTATACGCAACAATACTAATAACTATTCATGTGACTAATCACCGGCCTCAGAATCCTGTGGGGTGCTGGTAAAAATTGGAGGTTGTTGTAAATTTGCATCTTAAACAAATATCCCCAGGTGGTTTTGCCTACACTGAAGGGTTAAGTGCCCCCAAGAGTTACAAAATTCACAAAAAAACAAATTTAGCCAAGTTTTCTTAACAAAAACTATTTGGGGGTCTTAATTTACTCCCCATAGAGATGCATGAACCCCTAGGCTTACCACTTACACCAACCCAGACACTGCAGAAAAGCCCAGGACGCCTGTGCATCCCAGGTGAGCCTCACATGTAAAAGAATGTAGGTACACTGAAATTAAAATACTCAGGGATAGTGAAGTAAGCCATTACCTTCAGCCGGACATCAATACCCATATTTTGTAAAAACGTGTGCTGCTTAATGGGTCCTAGCGAGGCCACTTTCCCCTGTGCCATTCTGCGCAGGTAACTGAAGTCCACGTCGGCTGTCAGGTCTGCTGTCCCTGGGGCAGTCAAGACATCGTGGAGCTTATGACCGCAAAAGCCCTTGAACACAAGTAAAGATATTGTGAGTTTCTATCCTTCGGTGTTTGCCATCAAGATTAAAGAAATGCCACATTGCTACTTTCTACTGGACACCCAGCCATTAGAATTAAGGAAATACAGCTTACAGCACTGGTGTTCACACCCTTTCTTTGAAAGAGCTGCTTTGTGCAAACCCCAAAATAAAAGTGCCATGTTGGCATGCCTGAAGATGCAGTCCTTGACATGGCCATAAAACAAACCATGATCTTGGTCAACAGTGCTCTTGGTGATGGTTCCAAAGTCAAACTCGCTGCCAATGAGCCAATGCTGACGCAAAGCGACCCCACTGTGGGTTTCTGAGACTGTAATATTTAAGGGAGTAGAAAGGCCGGTCTTTCTCCCTCGGAGCTGTGGGTGGTTTTGAACTGGAGACCATACCGATCACAGGCCAACTTGTAACCAATACACAACCAGGGCTCCTTTGGTGATGGGTTAAAGGAGACCTACTTCTGCCGAGGGATTTGGGTCATCAGAACCCATCTAGTGTCTATTTAACAAAGTGGACCTGCAGTGTGTAGGTGCCAGAAACACCTGGCATTTGTTGCTAGACTCCTCTGCAACCTAATGAGCCTAGGAAACTGCATTTTAAACACACTCTTCAGCTTACTATTAGATACTGTAACGTAAGAGTCTCAGAATGGTAGATCGAGAACATGACTAATGGCATCTACTGAAGAGTATTAGACAAAGCAATCATATGCGAAGAATATAAGAATGTTTGTGAAGGGTTAAAAAAAATAAAAGTAGGGTGTTTGAATGGTTTTCTTTAGTAATTAGATTAAGTCTGCAAAGACACCAAAAAAAAAACAATTTAAGGGAGAGAACAAGTTTAAGAAAAATCTCAAAAAAAAATAAATCTCCCCATTTTCATTCCAAGTATCCCCTGCTTTTCAAAAGGTTAGCTTTACATCATTTCACCTTTACAAAGCCCTGATTTAGTACCTGTGTTTGCCAACTGAAAGCAATCTGAATGGACATTTTTACAGAAAAAGGGCGACGGCAAAACTGACATTCAGCATTTGTTTGCAACAAGCCATCAAAGAGGCAGCGCAAGCCCTGCGCAGCAAGAGCAGCAGTGTCCACCACCTTCCCGGGAACTGCACTCAGCATCGCAGCCTCAACCGGCTGCAGCTCCGAACTGTCTGCGCTTTGTTAGGTTACCTGCGGAAACCTGCTGCTAGTGTCTCTGCAAACCCCTGTCTGACACAGGTTTAGGGTTAGGACATAAAACCTAGTTGTTGTGTGCAGGCATGTTGACATTTCCACTCCAGAGTCAACCAGTGGGACAGGAGTAGGGCTCCTTAAGATTCCCTCGGCTGTAATCTTCCCAGGAGCTGCTGGCCCAGGCTTTCTCCCACGGAGCCAACCTTCACAGCAGCTGAGCACGTCACTGTTCGCCACCAGGGCGCCTTAAAGGTAAGTCTAGTAATATTAATTAAAACACCAAAAAACGAAACAAAAAACCTCCCTGCCATTAAGTTGATACTGACTCACAGTGCCCCTAACGGACAAGGCAGAACTGCCCTTAGGAGTTTCCGAGATTGTAACTCGATGGGAAGTAGAAAGCTTAGTCGTTCTCCCTTGGTTTCAAACTGCCTACCTTAAGATTAGCAGCCCAACACAAAGCCACTCAGCCACCAGGGCTCTCAGTAGCATGAATCTTACTTACAAAATAATGGAATAAAGCAATGCTATCACGGAAACCAAAGATAAGATAAAGATCTTAGATGAGCTTAACCGCTAACTGACAAGTACAAGTTAGTGGCGTGAGCTTACTCGGAAAGTGTCGGTCTTTGATCCATCGTGACCGTAATCAGCAATGAGCGCGGCCCCTCCGCTCAGGGAGATGCGCTGGGAGAGTTCCTGGACTATCACGCCGGCCTCGGGGCACACTTCCACGTGGTCCCTGGCGTCATCACCCTGGCAACAGGGCAGATGAAGAAACAAAACAAAGGCACTCAATGACTGTCTTGAGACATTCCCCCCCCTCCCCCAAACCCCACATTTGATTGGGAGATAATACAGATATCACATCATTCCATAGCTCAATCACATCAAGCAGTACTGTACCATTGCTATGACAATGTCAAAACTTTTTTTGGAGGGGGGGGGTTTCTACAGTGAGCATTTCTGGATTCTGATAAAAATAAATGTCTTCTCAATATATACGTTCTGTACACCAAACTATGTGGCATCGTTGTCACTCGGAGTTCCTTGGTTCTGCAATATCATCAGCTCAGTTTACAATATTTTCATCCCTTTCATATTCCCAGAAGGCCAAGCGCATTATCTATTTACAGAAATAATTACTTTTATGTCATTATTCATATATGCCAGGGGGCTTCAAAAGGTTGGACAACTGAATTAAAAGATAATGGAATTTTCTCAAGAACTCTGAAGCTGCCCAGTCTGTCTATGATACAGGTTTGCTCCAATATCTGAAAGTAGTGTTCCGAAAACTCCTTTTGTAAAGTGAAATGGCATAAAAATGAAGCAATTACAATTATATGGGGGAAAATTACTGAGCATTCTGACAGCCCCCAAGATAACCTACCCAATCAGATGTAACACATAAAACCTAAAATGACACTAACATACCAGGGGCTTCAACACAGTCACAGAAATTCCATTATCTTTGCACTCCATTTTCCCACAAGCCTTTTGCAGGCCCCTAGCAGAGTACTCACAGCTGTGATGCTGAGATTCTAAGTGTGGTTCCTGGGGAAGGAGCTTGGCGGCGCCATTCGCACAGCTCCAGGCTGCACACGGCCTCTCTTACAGCTCACAGCACCTTACCATAAAGTGAAGTTTCATAAAGGGGTGGGCGGGGACCTGTATATTCCCCCTGGATTATAAGCATGCATGCAGGGGCAGTGAATTATTTAATATGGCTTTTCTAGCCAGTCTCTAAATCCCACCAAACAACCTTTCCCTGCATGGGTCCGGTAAGAAGGTGGGGGGAGACACTGATAGGATTCACATGTACGTGCCTGGGAACTGGATCCGCTGGCATGACATCCGGCTGTATATAAAATGAGCCCTCTGAGAAGCAAGAGGAGGGACCACATTACCAGCAAGAACCAGGGGAGAAGTGTGCCCTCCAGACACAGGATTCCTCTGAGGCGAAGCTCCTGGATCCAGATAAGAGCTTCAACATTAGGAGCAGCAGCAGACCCAGGAGCCAGAGCAGAGAACAGAGTAGCAGATTTCTCAAGTCATGGAGCAAGTTAAAACAGTGAGGCTGAGAGCTAAGTGTCATCAGGCTGAGGCTTACTAGAGTGGGGTGCACCTCTGGGCACTTGATTCTGGGAGCTGGGTTTGCTAGCCACGAATTTGAGCTGAATGCCTTCAGGGTTGAGGCTGACATTCCGGAGGTCCTATGCCCCTGTGGGCATTTGTCAACCCGACAGGAAGTTTTTTAACACATCCCTGTAAACAACTATTCTGAGCATTTCTCCCTGGTATTACAACTTTAAAACATCCTTAATAAACCTTTAATCATGGTTTTTTTGGTAGCCATTACAATGGATATTAGAACCCAAGAAAGTAAGATAGAACATTAAGACATTTCAATGAAAAGGGATTTCTGCTTCCTTAAAAAACGATGCCTGAAGCTAATGTTTTGAAAATGATGATGGCAACAAATGTACCAATGTGCTGGACACGATGGATGGATGTGTGGATTGTGATTAGAGTTGTATGAGCCCTCAATAAAATGATTAAAAATTAAAAAAAACAGTGCCTGGAGCATAGGCACTCCAACAGCTGCTGAGAGAATGAGGGACAGAAATGCACTGAAACAACATACGACACCTTGTTAAGCAAGGGTGGCTACGGAGCCTTCTGTGTCCTGACTGCAGACCACTGAGATGTGAGATTCCTTTTCTTCATTAGTTAATCGTCCATTAACTTTCACTGTCTCCTACGACCCTACTGAAAATGGAGCACCCACCTGCACTGACATTTCTGCCTACACCCACCCCATTCAGACAAGCGGGATTGTCACCACGGATTCCCTAAGTCAAAAGCAACATACCATACCGGTAACCCTGGATAGCTTTATGAACTGGTTTCTCAAGTGCAATTTGGGAGCCAGAACATGAAGTACATAGAAATGTTCACATCAAAATAATAAGAGTCTTTATTCTTAGATTTGGTTTTAAAAGCTGTTAAGACTTTTACAAGTGATCACTTCTGAGACAAGATGTTTTTAGCGAAAGGTCAGAAAGCAGAAATCTTTTCCCTGAGCTGGAACAAGGAAGAAGAAGAAGCCATCTAAAACCCGGGCATTGCTGACAAGCACAGGGATTTTTTGTTTGGCTTTGCTTTTGAACTTTTCAATACAAGCCCAAGATTGACAGGCTGGTCACTATGACATGGGGTCAACAGAAAGCAGTAGCAAATTAAAAAGGGGGAAGCATAGGGGCAAGAACATGCTGCAGATGTGGCCCACCCAGTGTTTTGAGAAATGAGTGAGAAAACCCAGAGTAATACATACGTACTAGCACTGAACAGAAACATGGCATTCAATACATGTTAGTTGTTACTGTTGTTGCTACCACACTACACTGTCACCGACATAAACCTTTTTCTGTGAAGCAGATGATACTGTCACCATTTTAAGAGAGGAAACTAAACAAGCCAGTGAGAGACTAGCTAAGTAGGCATTTGCTAACTTTCTTAACTTCTTCTGTGTCAACTGTGACTTCTAGGGATGAATAGAACTGCCCCACTGGGTTTCCATGACTGTAAATCTTTACAGAATCAGACAGCCTTGTCTTTCTCCCGGGTGGCTGGTGGGTCACAGCTGCTACCCTGTGGTCAGCAGCCCAACCCGTGATGGCTCACTGTCACACTGCTAAAGCGCAAGCCTGGGTTTTAACCGCGTCTCCTGCCTCGAGAGCCTCTGTCCTGGCCACCAGTAACTAGGGGCCCATCAGGGCTCTTCCTTCTGCAGATGAACTCTAAAACAGGAACTCTGCAACTCTGGCTTTGGAGATTCTGTTAGCAATCAAAGATAATGAGAAAGGGAAAGTATACCTACCTGAATGAAGGCTTCCGCAGGTGTGGCACTGGGCGCCAAAACAAACCTCAGTTTATTGGGAACTTGCGGGTCGATATCAATGAATACTTCTCGCCATCCTTGTGGTGTTTTCTAAATACAAAGCACCACATAAAAACTAATTTGTACTAATTTGCTCCCCAAATGGCCTGTGCCTTAAATGCCTGTGAGCTTTCTCTTCTTACCACAAACAAGAGAGATAGCTAACGTATAACTGACACTAGCACTTTCCTACCCAAGGTTCAGAACATGAATTCACTTCCTGTGACTGAGATGCGTAAATGAATAAATGCAGGCTACTAGCAAAGTTTTCAGTGAAAAGCAGTAACGGGGATGGAATGACAGGAGAAAGTAGGAAATCCAGCAGCAGGGAGGCTTCCAAGAAATGGAAACAGACTTGGGAAAAATCATCAAAAGCTTTTCAAAGACAACTAACTGCAACCTAATCAGGAGACTTGTCTCAGCATTAAAAGTTAATACACTATACATGCATTCGCTCTAATGGAAAGAATGAAGAAAAGGTTAATCTTTGGCTTTAAAGACATTCACTCCAAAATTATTTATTACACTAAAGCCACAAAAACCAAACTCGCCATCAAGTTGCCAACTCGCAGCAACCTCCAGGACGGGTAGAGCTGTACTTGTCAGTCCCTGAGCCCATCTGTCAGTCTGTCCGGGGAAGAAAGCCTCATCCTTCTCCTGCGGAGCAGCTGACGGCTTCTAGCTAACTTGCAGTTAGTCCACGGTGTAACCACTACGCCACAAGGGCTGCATCCTGCTTTATCTCAACAACAGAGTTCCCATAAATCGTTCATTTTCGCTTTTCAATTATTTATACGCATCAAAATGCCACCTGTAGCTAAGAATAAAACCTGTAACATTCACCTAACTAAAAATGTCAGTGCCATTAAATACCACTGAATGTCCAGTCTTACAAAATAAAGCCTTTGTTATTCATTGATAATCTTGATTTTTTTCCCCCCATCAATACCTGAAACTTATGCACAGGAAGAACATCAAAAAATTCGTGGGCAAGATAAAAGCTGTAACCTATTTAAAGACAGAGATAAAGTATTTCAGCATTGTTAAAGCAGTTAATTATTTGAACATTTAACTGTGAGGAGAGGGGAAAAAAAGCCTATTTCTTCAATATTGGAACTATAATGCTTCCCTAAGCCTTTCTGCCATAGAGTCCTCCAAACCTCTTTATGTAAAATCTATTCTGCAAAATTTATTTGGGAACAAATATTACTCTTCTCATTTTCCATATGTTAGGGTCAGAGAAACAAAACCCCTGATGTATCCGTTTAGTCAAATTATAAGGCAAGAAAGAAGTCAGAACTCAAGTTCCTTTGCCTGGAAGGAGATCTGAACTTCATAAAATCCACAGAGAAGGCTGATGCGTGGGATGCCTGAAGGCCCTTGTACTCTGGGGATGAGCTGGGATTCACATTCAATTCCTGCCCTGTTTGGGGATCTTATCACCACTTCTTGTTTCTTTCAGGCAAAGAAACATTTCTGAAAGCTCAGATAATTCAGCTCCACTGGGCCAGCAGCTCTCCCTCCTTCACCGCTCCTGCCAGCTGCTCAGCAGTGCAACTGCAACGGCTGGGAAAACCTATCCAACGCACAACAGATGTACATGCTGCGTTTGGTTTTTTGTGTCTTTTGGGAAATGACATGAAATATATTGCTTCTTTAACATTATGCAGTTTTATTTGCTAACACACTGACAGTTCTTTTCTAGAAAATATACAACTATTGTCTGTGGATACGAATCGAGGCAGTGATAATCACGTTGCTGTAAAAGCCAGTTACCACCTATCACTACTGTGAGGCGTTGTGACAAGAATTCTTGCATTCATTCATGCAACACAATTACCCTTTGGAACGTCTTGCAGATCTCGGTACCAGGAAACAGGAACCCCAACCTTCGTAGCCCCTTTCATATACACTGGCGATCCCTCAGTTCGCTCCAGGAGGGCCTTCTCGTCAGTCAGCGCCGCTGCTTGGATCTCACTTAGCTTTGTGCTGACCTCGACAAGATGGACTGAAATGTCAGTGTTTTTCAGCACGGACCCAAGCTGGCTGAACACCTGAGCCAAGGAAGAAGAAAACCATTGGCAAAATACAATGTGTTGAATGGATGTTCAGGTTTCTGATCATTTACCCTCAATAATGCGCTCACATCCTAGAAGTAATATTTGATTTCAGAGAGACGGTTTCTTCACACAAGCCCTTCATGAGCAGTTTATGAGAACTGTAACCTATTACGGAGTTACTATTGCCTATGTCACCTCCCTGATACGATCGCTGAAGACAAAGCAGGTAAATAAGCAAATGTGGTGAAGAAAGCTGATGGTGACCGGCTATCAAAAGAT